GTGTCCTCACGTGGACTTACCCCTGTGTGCATGTGTCCCCCGTGTGTCTCTGTGGAATTTGTCCAGATGTCCTCTTCTTATAAGGATGCCGGTCCCCTGCACTGACGCTCACCCTAATGACCTCTGTTTAACTTCATTTCCTGAAAGATCCCAGCTCCAAACACAGGCACATTCTGAGGTTCTGAGTCAGTACTACAACACAGGAATTTGGGGGGGACTCCGTTCAGTCTATGACACCTACTTGGTCAAATTTATTTGTAGGCTGGGTACGGTGGCTGATGTCTGTAATTGCAGCACCTTTGGAGGCCAAGGTGGGAGGATCGCTTGAGCCCAGGAGTTCAAGACCAGCCTGGGCAATATAGCGAGACCCTGCCCCTACAAAAAAGTCACCAAAAAAATTACCTGTGGCCCCCAAATCAATACTGCAGAGTTTTCTGGGCATTCACAGATTTGTACGGAGTGCCGAAAAATTCGTCTCTGTGCACATGTTCCTGGCTGAGGTTGAACAGGACAGCACCGTGGCCCCTTGTTTCAGCCTCATGTGGTCAACCAGTGTCCTTTCCGAGGTCTGTTTGGTGCCAGGATAATTGCATTTTGTTTTGTGATTTTGCTTTTTTTTTTTTTTTTTTTTTTGAGAGACGAGTCTCTGTCACCCAGGCTGGAGTATGGTGGTGTGATCTCAGCTCACTGCAACTTCCACCTCCTGGGTTCAAGCGATTCTCCTGTCTCAGCCTCCTGAGAAGCTGGGATTACATGTGCCCGCCACCAAGCCCAGCTAATTTTTGTATTTTTAGTACAGACAGGGTTTCACCATCATGGCCAGGCTGGTCTTGAACTCCTGACCTTGTGATCTGCCTGCCTCGTCCTCCCAAAGTGTTGGGATTACAGGCGTGAGCCGCTGCACCCGGCCAGATTTTGCTTTTTAAAATATTCCCAAGCCCAATGCTGAAGAGCTGCGTGCTTGGGAGCATTTTTAAGGAAGTGAATTAAGCACTTCAGTTAAAATACAGAAAGTGTCCAAACAGATTAAACACTTAATCTAATTATATGCTGTCTATAAGAGGCACTTTAGATTCAAAGATACAAATAGGTTGAAAGTAAAAGATTTCTAAAAATATGCCAGACAAATGGAAACCCAAAGACAGTTTTGGTTACTATTTGGCTACTCGTTAGCTCTGTGCTTGGGGGGATTTTAAACAGCAAAATCACGAACAAAACACACAGAACTACAGAAAGTAAGACAGCTGCAGCGCGTCTCACAGAGGAAATGCGTGTTAGAGAAGCTTCCTTCAGGCCCAGCTAGAGGGCTGTTGGCCGTGAGCTCAGTGATCGCGAATCAACATTTGTAGATTCAGTAAAGCATCTTTACACAGAAACACTCACAAGACAGAGGATGCGTTGCTGGCGTGAGGAGAACATCCAGCCAGAGGCTCACCGGACCCTCACCCTGTGTTTCCCTGGGAGCCATGGTTCCGTAGCCCAGGTGTCACTGATTCAGTGCTCACTGTGGCTTTAGAGAACATCCCTACCTCGAGAATCCACCGCTAGGAACGCAGATCGGTAGAACTCGGCCCCGCAGAAGGGGAGGCGTGTTTTGTGCGGACATGATGCACGTGGACAGTGCTGGGAATCAGGGAGAGGACATTGGCTTGTCTTTGGTTTCCTTCTGGTCTTTCATCCTCCACAGGCAGTGTATCCCGCAGTGTAGTGGCTGTCACCCCCCCGCCCGCCACCTGTGCACTGTGGCTTTGAGGTGGCATCTTCAACACGAGTTCCAGGAGGAGCCCATGTCCAGGGCAAAAGGGTCTTGTTTCCCCAGAATCCAGGCGAGTGGGGCAGGGCTCTGGCAGGGGCTGCTGGCCTCAGCACGTGTTTAATTGTTTGTTTGTTTGTTGTTTGTCTCTACCCAAGACAATCTCAGCTCCGCAAGAGCAGGGACTTCGCTGGACACAGCGTTAGGAGACAGGACTGCACCAGCGTGGATCAATGAGTGAGGATGTTTGTGCAGCGGGCTCCGGGCCAGGGAGCCGGAGTTAAGGCTCCCGAAGATAGCCTGCCTTGAGATGGGGCGGGGAGCAGTCTTGAACTATCCAGGGGGGCTGGGAGAGTCCCTGCCAGATGGATGTGATGGGAGAGACCTCACTGCCCACTACTACCTTTGAAGGTGGAGGAGAGGCTGGCCATGAGCCAAGAAATGCAGGCGCCCGAGTCTGAAGGACCTTGCCCAGCCTTGGTGCCCAGAGCTGTGCAGTTCAGACCAGGCTGGTGTCCAGCCCCAGGTTGGTGCCTCGGCCGCCTCCCTGCCTGCAGTCCCCACTGTTTGACTGACCATGTGTAGGCCCAGCTGTGAGGGAGGACAGCACGTTCCTCCCTCCCTGTCAAATGTCAGGGGCACTAAAAACACCGCCGTCAATGTTCTGATGTTTAAATCATGCTTTGATGCACTGTTTAAAAAAATCAAAATGGGCTGGGTGCTGTGGCTCACACCTGTAATCCCTGCTTTTTGGGAAGCCGAGGCGGGTAGATCACCTGAGGTTGGGAGTTCGAGACCAGCCTGACCAACACGATGAAACCCTGTTTCTGCTAAAAACACAAAATTAGCCAGGCACGGTGGTGGCACATGCCTGTAATCCCAGCTACTCTGGAGGCTGAGGCAGGAGAATCGCTTGAACCTGGGAGGTGGAGGTTGTAGTGCGCCGAGATCAAGCCACTGCACTCCAGCCTGGGCAACAAGAGTGAAACTTCGTCTCAAAAAAAAATAATAATAAAATAAAAATGGGACTGATGCAGTGGCTCAGTTTGAACCTGGAAGGTGTAGGCTGCAGTGAGCTGAGATTACACCACTGCACTGAAGCCTGAGCAACAGAGCGAAACTCCATCTCAAAAATAAATAAATAAAATAAATAAGTAAATCAAAATGAATGCAAAATATTTGTGGTGAACAAACTGTCAACATTTTACACATGTAGGCAGGATGAGGACGACTACCTTCTCCTTTTGCTTCAGGCTCCAGCGTGGCTCTGCCCAGCACTGACCGTGCGTCTGGCCTGGCTGGACTCTCCCTGGGCCAAGCTGCATGCTGGGTTCCATCCCAGCGGCCTCTTCTTCCCCATCCCTGTGCCCCAGAAATAGGTAATAGGTGGTCAGCCCTGCAGAGCCACCCACTGCCCCACCCAGACGCCACCACTGCTTGGATGTTGACCTCCCCGCCTGGAAAGGGGGCTTCAAGCCCCATTCCCTTCTTCCAAGCAGAGTGACCTGGGCATGTGGCTTAACATCCTAAGCTCCTGTTTCCTGGTCTACAAAGTGGGATGACACTGGGGCCTGCTTCCCAGGGGACCTCTGAGGACCCACAGGCAGAGGTCCGGGTAGGCACCCATCACTCCCCCAGCGTTTCCTAGCTGCACCTTAATTTGGCCCTCTAGGGAATGGCTCTTCTGGAATCGTAACCTTGCAGGGCAAAAGCTGTCATTTCAAGATTTTTGGGGATCCCGTGTCTCCGGCCCCATGGAGCACACATTGGAGCCCCCCTTCAGCCCTGATCCCACCTGGGACGTGTCAGGTCTGATCCTCATACACTGGGCATCTGGCCTGTCCTGGCCTCCTGAGCTCACAGGCTGGAGATGAATTTGCAGAGCCCGGGCGTGCCCTGGGTATGTGCTCACTCCACACGCACGAGTCTGTTAGAGGCTGAATAGGAACTGGGAGGCCAAAGAGGACGAAGCACCTCCCCACAGCCTGGACCATGTCTAGAAAAGCTGGCCTGGGCGGGGGCAGGGCTCCCAGGCTGGGGGGAGGACATGGGGAAGGACCATGTTCCCAGGCCCAATTTACCCCAAAATATTAAAAGACTTACAACTAGGAGCGGTCCAGGTGCAGCAGCTCATGCCTGTAATCCTAACACGTTGAGAGGCCAAGGCGGGTGGATCACCTGAGGTCAGGAGTTCAAGATCAGCCTGGCCAACATGGTGAAACCCTGCCTCTACTAAAACAGGAGGCTGAGGCAGGAGAATCGCAGCAAGCGCAGATCATGACACCGCACTCCAGCCTGGGCAACAGAGAGATACCGCCCCTCAAAACAAACGACAAACACACAAACAGAAAAACTGGGAGCGCCTGGACGCTTAGTGGGAGCTGGACAAGGGCCTTGGGTTGAGCAGCAAATCATCACCAGGCCTCGCGGAGAGCGGGACCACGTGGGTGGTGGGGACGTGTGGGCAGACATGTCACCACCCTGGCAGGAGCGACCCAGCTCAACACCCACTGCAGGTCATGGCCCGAGGCTTTCGGTGTTACAGGGGACGATGCCCACGGGGCTGGACGTCCAGGGTGGGCTGCAGAGGGAAGCCCACCACGTGGTGCTGTCACCTCCACACGTCCAGCCAGTCTTCCTGTGGGAGGCATGCAGGCCCCGGGGATGAGCATGAATGCAGCAGGGCCCCCCCAGGCACTGGGATTAGGGTGCCTTTCAGCTTCTTTGTCCTTCTGTCTCCCAGGAGTCTGACAGAGATGCACACTTGTAAGTGGTGGGCATGATGGAGGTTCGCAGAGGCACTCTGCTTTGAACGCCAGTGTACTCTTGCCCAGGCGCCATGAGCCTCAGGATGACCACTCTAACTGCTGTCTCTAACGGGGGTGTGGGCTCCCCTCCTCCCATGAGGACCACCCAGGCAGGACAAGGCATGCGGAGAACTAGCATGGCCCCTGGCACGTAGACCCTGCCCAGTAACTGGGAGATGACAGGCTCCATTGTCGCCCCAGGCGAGTGTGGGACACGCAGCTCCTCCTTGGGTTGTCTGCCCTCCCGGGAGCCCCAGGGTGCCCAGGCGGGCCTCAGCTGAGTCCAGGCCTCGGGGACCGTCCACGCAGCCCCTCCCGGGGCTGGGGGCGGGCACTTGGCCCAGCCGCTTTTCTGCTGACTGGGCAGCCTTCCTCATGAGCTCATGCCTTTCCAGAGAAATCCCTTAATGCCTCCATTCTGCCGGGGGCATATATAGGGAGGGCTCACCCCAGCTCTGCACAGCACTGCCCAGAGGCCCCGCTGACTCCTGCCAGCCTCCAGGTCCCCGTGGAACCAAAGCTGAACATGGACGTGACCATCCAGCACCCCTGGTTCAAGCGCACTCTGGGGCCCTTCTACCCCAGCCGGCTGTTCGACCAGTTTTTCGGCGAGGGCCTTTTTGAGTATGACCTGCTGCCCTTCCTGTCCTCCACCATCAGCCCCTACTACCGCCAGTCCCTCTTCCGCAGCGTGCTGGACTCCGGCATCTCCGAGGTAAGACACTGCTGGCAGTGCTGGCTTTTCCTCGCTGCTCACAGGGTGGTGGCCTTGGGAGGTGGAGCATGATAGACTCTGGTCTTGCTCTGCCAAGCAGGTGGCTTCGCCTCATGTCATCCCTTTGCCGAGGACGGGTGGGAACCTATGTCCCCACTGCAGCCACGCGGCAGTCTCCCATAGCACAAGGGAGAGGTCGGACAAGGGGGCAGCCTGAGGCCACCCTTGTTTTCCTCCGTCAGCTCATGACCCACGTGGGGTTTGTAAGGCACCAGACACATACTGGAAACCCCAAGAGCAGCCCATCCAGGTGAGGGTGGTGGCGAATGCCAGCTCCCGGCTTCCTCTGGTCTCCTGAGTCCCGGAGGCCTGGGAGCAGGGTGGGGGTCACAGTCCTGAAAGCCACAGAGCAGGGGGTCCCTAGCACCACCTCCGATGAGCGCGGCCTGCCCACGGCCAGCAAAGCTCCTGCCAAGTTTACTCGGGTGCCCTGCCAAGGTCAAAAGGAGAGGCAATGGGACCCCCCAAGCCTCCTCTCCAAGCCACGGTTGAGCAGTGTGGGTCTGCAGTTTTGAGGGAGGGCCTGAGTCTTACCCAGCACCTAATAAACAGGGTCCTCCCCAGGACCGCTGAGATAGCCATCAATGCTAGGATGCAAAATGCCTCTGGGAGCCGAGGCCAAGCCAGGGCAGTGAGGGGGCGTGTGGACGCGCTTTTTGGAGAGGCAGCTGTGCCGGCTGTCAGTGGGCTCCGTCCGCATCTGCAGACAGCGTGACGCCAAGGGCAGTGACCTCATTCCACAGGCTGAGCCCAGCCAGCCAGCCAAGATTCACCAGCCAGACGACTGATCTAATGGGCCAACGCAACCGTCATGGCTTCCCCCCACACACCGTAACTAGTAGCAGCCAGCCCATAACCAGCCAACCTGTCTATAACCAGCCACCTGACCACAGCCAAACCACCAGCCGGCCCACCAGCATTCACCTCTCCGCTGGTCCTGAGGGTTTGGGGACAGGTCGAGGCCGTGCCCATTCATCCAGGAGACAGTCACAGGCCCCGAACGCTCTGTCCCACTTGGCATGTTGGGGGAGAGGCCCGCATGGGACCGAAGCGTCTCTGTCCTGACTGCCGGGACCCGCTCTGTCTCCGGCAGCCCCAGCAGGGAGGCGCCTTCGGGATGGCTCCACACAGCGTGTTTGGGTTTCAGGTTCGATCCGACCGGGACAAGTTCGTCATCTTCCTGGACGTGAAGCACTTCTCCCCAGAGGACCTCACTGTGAAGGTGCAGGAGGATTTCGTGGAGATCCACGGGAAGCACAATGAGCGCCAGGTGAGCCCAGGCGCCGACAGGTGGGAGGGGGCGGGTAGATGAGGCGGGCAAGGGGGTCACGGTGGGCACGACGGGGCCTGCATGCCTGCACCTTCAACCCTGGGCGAGGGATGCTCTCAGGGACCCCTGAATCAGGCCTGGCTTTTCCCTGAGGGAGGAGGGGCCATGCCCACCTGCGCACAGCCAGCCTCTCCCAGCGCCAGAGGTCACCATTCCCCGAACAAATGTGGCTCAGGGACCCAGGTTAGGGTCCCTTCCTGGGTTGCTGCACCCAGCGTCGCCAGCTCCATCCCTGTCACCTGGAGGCCAGGTGGTCTAAGAAAGAACCCCAGGAAGGGGGAGTACCTGGGTGGCTGTCTCCCAGCCAATGTCCACTTTCACATGGAACCTGCCTGAGGGAGGCCAGCCCCCGACCATACAGCTGCATCTGCTTGGAACGCTTTACATGCATTGACACCTTGGCCTCACAGCAGCCCTTTGGGACCTGTGTCCTTATTCCAGGGCACAGCTGGGGAACGTGGGGGTCCTCAGCCTGCCGGGTCCCTCAGCTAGTACCGGCAGATGGGCCGGGAGCTTCTCCCTGCTGTCACCCTGATGCCACGCTCCTGCTCGGGTGGAGGCCCTGGGTTTCCGTGGTTTTCAGGGAGCCCAGGCACTGGAGCCCTGGTGACCTGCCTCTCCTGGCCAAGCCAGGAAGCACTCGTGGGCTGTCACAGATGGACAGTGTCCCGTGGGGCCTGGAGAGCAGAGAGGGGCCGGAACGCAGGATATTAGCCAACGTCTTGGTTTATTTTGGCCAGGGTCTTCTTTCAATGGCTGGAGAAGGCAGTGCTGGGGGGTGAACCCTGACCTCCTCATGCACCACCCCTCCCTCGCCTGGGCCCAGTAAAGCCCCCACTTAGGGTTTCACCAGCACAGCCTGGAAAAGGCGTCCTGAGCTCCCAGCTCTTGGTCTTTGCAGCCAGTGGAGGAGGCGTTCAGGCCAGGGAGCTGAGTCTGCAGCTTAGGTGTCCAGCGGACACGTTAGGTTGGGCCTCAGAGACCGGGCTGAAGCAGTCCTGAGGGTCCTGGGAGCGGAAGCCTGGCTGAGGTGCAGGGCCTGGGACAGAATGATCCTGTGATTTTGGAGTGAAGCCACAGAGCGTGAAGAGACAGCCCATGCAGGGAATAGCCCGCAAGTGGCCATGAGGCCAGAGGAGCAGGGACGGGGGGAGCAGGGGCGCAAATCCACAAATCCCAGGGGGCCCGGCCATGGGATGCTCTAGCTGCCCCCGGCCCCTGTGAGAGCGCCCACAGGCCGGCCACCTTCTGCGGGTGGCAGGGCTGGAGGCAGCATCTCCAGCATGGGGAGTGGCAGCCACCTGAGCATCGGCCCCTCTGACTGTGCCCTCCCCGCCCCCCGCCCCCAGGACGACCACGGCTACATTTCCCGGGAGTTCCACCGCCGCTACCGCCTGCCGTCCAATGTGGACCAGACGGCCCTGTCCTGCACCCTGTCTGCTGACGGCATGCTGACCTTCACTGGCCCCAAGATCCAGACTGGCCTGGACACCACCCATGGCGAGCGAGCCATCCCCGTGTCGCGGGAGGAGAAGCCCAGCTCTGCTCCCTCGTCCTAAGCAGGCGTCTCCTGGGCCGGCTCCCCCCGCAGCCCAGGCCCGTCGTCGGGGGAGCACCCTGAGGGCAGGGTGTCTGTCTTCCTTTCTTCCCTGTTTTTCCTTTCCACCTTCTCAGATGGAATGAGGGTTTGAGAGAGCAGCCTGGAGAGCTCAGGGTCTCAGGATGTCCCAGACCCCTCCACCGGCCAGTGGCGGAAGTGACCGCACCTCACACTCCTTTGGATAGCAGCCTGGCTCTGCTGAGGGGCCGGGAGGAGGGGGTGACCTTTGGCCAGGTGCTCCCAACATGAGGCAGCTTCCCTTCGCCTCGGGCCCTGCCCACACCTCCCGGGGCGCGTGGCCGTGGGGCTGGGCTTCCCCTCCGTGCGTCTGTGCTCTCGCAGCCTCTTCTCTCAGACTGTCTCCCTCCAGCCCCTCCATGTAGTGCCTGCCACTCTTGGGTACATGGGATGCCCAGGAGCGTGCAGCCCACGGCAGTCAATAAAGAGCAGGTGACACAAGCAACCCACCGTCTGCTGCTGCTGTCTCCTTGGGGCCGTGAGGGGGGCGCCGGAAGGGAGGACAGTGGGGTCTCCTGCTCCTGTTGGACCCGGTGGCCTCCGAGGGATGAGTGACAGTGTCACCTGTGTCCCTTCCTTCTCCCGAGCTCAAGTGCCTCCCCCAACACTGTGCAGAAGGAGAGGGCTTTGGGGGCAGAGCCTCTGATGGGAAAGGGACTGGGGAGAGCTTCCGAGAGCTGGGGGCAGGAAGGGACCTGGAAGGGGCAGGAGGGGATGGAAGGAGGCTGGGCTCCCTTCTGTGGCCACATTGGCACCAGGTGGGATGCCAGCTCTGGCCTCCTTCTGCAGGGTGGTCCTCTTCTCTCTGGGGTCTGTGGGGCCGTCCTGCTGCCTTCGGGGCTGTGCTTTAAGGGCACTCGTGCTCTTGCGCCGGACAACCCGCTGCAGCCCCGAGCTGCAGGTGGCCAGCTTGCTCTGTCCCCTCCGGGGACCAGACACTGGGCCCTGCGTGTCCCAGCAGCAGCTTTGCCAGACCCTGCCTTGGGGAGGGAGACCCGGCCTGGAGGGCCCTGACCACCTGGTGTGCTCACCAAGGGGGGTCGGGTGGCCAGAGGGGACCTGAGGGGAAGAAGACGCCACGCGGTGGGGGAGAAAGGGAAGAGTGGGCCCTGCCAGCCCCTCAGCCAAGTACAGCGCCCTCCACCCAGGAGGCCAGAGGCACGGTGCCCTGACGACGCCAGCAGGCAATGGGGCGCTGCCTCCGCCCGGGAGAACCCGCCACAGGCTTCAAAGAATCAGCAATGGACGGGCATTAGCGTGGGCTCCCACTGTGATGCCCAGTGACAGACAGCACATGCCACAGCCAGCAAACAACACACACAACACAACACAGGCTCCACAACTCCACACCATCCACACACTCTACACACACACATAAGAGACTCCACAACTCTGCACAATCCACATACTCTACACACACACAAACACAGACTCCACAGCTCCACACCATCCACACACTCCACACACACACACACACACGCGCACACACACACACACACCACAGACTCCACAGCTCCACACACTCCACACACACACACACACACACTCACACACACACACAAAACACAACACAGGATCCACAACTCCACACTATCCACAAACTACACACACACACACACACACACACACACACCCCACACCACAGACTCCACAGCTCCACACAATCCACACATACACACACATACCACAGACTCCACAACAGACAATCCACACACTCTACACACACACACAACACGCCACAGACTCCACAACTCCACACAATCCACACACTCCACACACACACACACCACAACACAGACTCCACACCTCCACACAATTCACACACTCTACACACACACAACACAGACTCCACACACACCCCACACAGACCACACTGAGACTGGCAGTGTGGCCCCTCCCCCTCTCCCCTCCGGGGTTGGGGCTGCCTCCTGCTATACTTTCTTGGCTCTATAATCACGCCCTGCCAGGGTGGTTCTTCAGCTCAGGGGCACGGACGGCTGGGGCCTGGGGCTGCTTTGACTCTGACTCCACCAGGCTGTCCACAGCCCGAGTCCTCGCCCCGCACCCACAGCCCTGCCTCCTCACCCCTGCACCCACAGCCCCGCCTTCTCGCCTCGTGCCATGGGGCCAATTTTGGAGCAGCCCTCCTTGCAACTGCTGACCAGTGATTTCACTGCCATCATGGCTACTGCCAGGTCAAGGGCACTCAGACTCCCTGCAGGCACCAAGCTCACCTGACAGCAGCCTCATCACCTCCTTGTCCAGACGAGACAGGCTCGGGGGGCTCATGCGAGGCCTCAGCCAGCCAGCGGCAAGGCCGGCAGACCTTCCGGCTCCTGCCTGAAGCCATCTCAGTGGGCCCAGGCTCAGGAGCTGCCCGTGCTGGGGCCTGGGGCTGCTTTGCACCTGAGACCACTTCAGACTCAGCAAGTCTGCCAGATGCCCCCCGCACCCATCCCCAGGGGAGGAGGCCACACGGATATGAACCGGAATGCAGGGCGCAGCTCTGGCCACGGTGTCCGGCCACCTCCTGGAATCTCAGCAGCTGCCAAGGCTCCCTGGTGGTGGCTCCTGCCCCACACAGGCCCCGTGGGCTGCTGTTGGGAGAGCTTCTGAAGCCAGGAGGATGCCTGCTCCCCTCACTTCCTTTCCAAGCTCACCTCTGCCTACCTGGTGCCAGGTCTCCTCTGTGGACACTGCTGCCAGCTCCCTGCCCTCCGGGCCTCCCTCCCCCTTGCCAGGCCCTCGGAGGGCATCTCCCCCACTTCCCATTGCATGGCCTGGCGTCTGAGGCTCCTCTGGTCTGATGGCCCCACCACTCCCTGGTAAGCATTCAGGCTGAAGGGGCACTCCCCAGAGAGCCCTGCATGCCAGTGCCAGCCCCGTCCACTCCAGGGCACATGGCCAGCATGGAAAGATGGGATTGGCCAGGACTTCCCAAGCCTGCCAGGCTGGGAGAACCACCCGCAGCACTTTGCAAATACAGATTCCCTGGCCCCGCTCACACCGGAAGACTTAGATTCTGGAGGGTGGAGTCCAGTGAGATGGGCTGTGGCTGCCTCCAGGTGAGCCCTGCAATCAGGCACACGTGGGAGGTGCTGCGGGACAGTGGTGCCTCCTCAGGTGAGGGCAGTGGGGAGAGGTCACCGGAAGCTTCCTCTCCAGGCTTGGGGGCTCGGCTTCTAGATCTCCAGAGGGGTGTCCCTTGTCCCACCGCCTGCAACACTTGGCCGTAGCTATGTGGCTCTGGAGTGAAAAAGATCCATGCTCTCCTCTGCTCCTGTTTTCGCCTCAGGCATCACCGTCTTCAGAAGCATCATCACCACCATGAGCAGCAGCGGGAAAAGCATGAATGGAGCACCTGCTGTATGCCAGTCCCTGTGCCTGCTGCGCTGGTAACGGCGATCCTCATGCAGCCTGCAGCAGCCTGTAGCCTGTTTCTATTGTTAGCTGAGGACACTTAGGTTTGGAAATGGAGTCAGCTGCCCTGTGTCCCCCAGCTGGGGAGAGCTTGGGTCAGGTGCTGTCTGTTTGGCCCCAAAGCCAGGACTCAGGGCTGCTGGGCAGATGATTACTGCCATGTCAGGCGTAAGTGAAAGTTGGGACGCGCTGAGGAAACCTGAGGCACTGGTCCCTTTCTGCTGGTGACCTGCTGGGTGACTGCGGGCAGATCCATCGACCCCTCTGAGTATTCGATGCCCATCTTTGCCAGTCGGCTGAAGCAGGGGACTGAGGAGTGTCGCAGGGAGCCTGGAGCCCCAGCTCCTCCCAATCATCACCAGCGTGCCTAACACTCGCCACCAGGTGGCAGCAGAGGACTTGTCTGGCTGCAGAGACCTTGGCCGCAGGAGACTTGTGAACAGCAGCCTTAAAGGTCACCTTCATTCAAGACAGCGGGAAGCGGCTGCAGCCAACATCTGCAGAGGACCTGGCTCCGGGAGCCTCAGGGCTGGGCTGTGTGCTGCCGAGCTGTGGGAGACCCCCCGACACCCCCACCCCTGGTTAGCTGGTGTCCAGCCGGGTGCACTGAGATGGGGAGACACAGAGCCGGACGCCAGCAGTTTCTTTACCATAAGCAGTTTTGGGGCTCATGCGCTTGTAAAATCAGTTGAAAGAGGAGGCATCACTGTCTGCAAGGCCAGGGCTGTGCTGGGGTTCCCAGGGGTCTGGCGGGGTCTCCTGGTGCAGAATGACATCAGTCTGCGGCTTCCGGCCCAGATAAGCTCTTCCTAGGAAGCCGCTTGTGATGCACATGAGAACAGCCCCATCCTGTCCATATGTGCAGAGGCCTGTGGGTGGGTACGGTGGGAAGTGTCATGGTAGGCAGCCCAAGCTGACATGGTGCTGGGGTCACAAGCCCAGAGGTCCTGCCAGCCAAAGCTGCCTGTGGCTGTCTGAGAGGGGCTGAGACAGAGATGCAGGCACAAGTGCCTGGCAGTGCCAGCTTGGGACAAGGAGGCAACAGGAGAGCTGGGGGTTGAGGGACGAGGAGCTGCTTGCTGGGGGCAGGGCGGTTTCTCTCTGCAGGACAGGCGCCTTCCTCCCGCTCTGCCCTTGGCCTCCAGGATGGGAGCTGAGAGAGGAGTCTCCCCTCAAGGGAGGGGCCGTGATGGGGGCTGGGCGAAGGCTGCCGCTGCCACCAGGCCTCTGTCAGTGTCAGCTCAGGCTGCTGGGGAGGCCGGAAGGCCATGCTCGGTGAGATTTCCTCCAAGAGCCTGAGCTGGGGACCGAGTGTGCAGGGACAGGAAAGGTGGGGGTGCCCTGAACCTGCTGTGCAGGCTGTTCCATTAGAACCGAACAGAAGGAAAGGCGCACAGGCATCCACACTCACACACACACAGTACCACATACATGTATCCACGTGCGCACATGCAGTATGCACATATGCACAAAGCACACACATGCACATAGAAGCAGTGTTCACACAGTGTGCACCCACACACAACACACATGTAAAACACACAAAACGTGCTCACACACCTCATACATGCACACAAATGCACAACACACACATGCAACATGCAAGCACACGTGTACACAATACACATGCATGTGGACACATGCAAACACACAGAAGCACACAAAACACCTACACACACACAAATGCCCACATGCACACCTGCACAAACACTCTCAGAGTCCACAGGAACATGCACACACACGCACATGCACACACACGCACATGCACACACACGTACATGCACACGGCACTAGCATGGTCACGGCCAAGCTCTGTCTGATGGGCTGTTACCTCATTGCATGACTGCCTTCTGTGTCTGATTTGTACCTGACCGTGAGAGACTCCTCTCCACCCTCCAGCTTAGGGGAGCCCCTCCTGTGTGCTGCTCAGCAGCCTCTTTGACATCCAGCTCCCTGGGCCCTAGCATTCCTCATGTCACCTGCAGCCCCTCATTATCTTCCCAGGACAGAGATGGCATGAAGGAG